CCATCCTGGCCGGGAAGGATACGAAGTATGATCAAGACAGCCAACATTGTGGAGTCGAGTTTTAGAAATATAGAGACAGAAATCACCAAGAGAAGCCCGGTGGTAAACAACGGACGTGGGGAGGAGGTGGGGGAGAGGCGGAGTGGAAAGTGCGGAGAATCAGCTTTGCCAGAGGGAAGAAAGGAATCGGACAGATGATAAAGCAACGTACTAATGGGAGCAGGGAAAGAGTGAAGCATTTGATTTGCTCGCTCACTCGCTTGCTCATCTACCTGCTAGGGAGTCTTACTTCAAAGCAGGGTTACTCAATCCTTCTTGAACTGCAGTCAAATAAGTGTACATTTGCTTACGCCCTCTCTTTTCTCCCCCATTGCTCATTCTTCCCTCCGGTTTCATTTGTGACCACACATGCTTCGCTTTCTTTCTACTCCCTCTTTTTATCTCATTTAAAAGAATAATAAAGCCCAAACAATGTGTGTAGGGGAGTGAGAGGGATGTCACTGAGTCTTTAGAACAAGTTAGATCAGTAAGTATAAGGTCGTTATGACGTGCACAGTCTTTGGTATGTGGGGACCAAAACTGAAAAAGAAGCTCACAGCCATCGAGCCAATGCCAACTCACCGAGATCATTTATGAGGGACTAGAACTGCCTCCTGTGGGTTTCCAAGACCGTAACACTTTGCAGGAGTAAAAAGTTTTGTCTTTCTCCCTTGTGCCCATGCCAGGAAGTTCATTGAATCAGCAGCAATACAGAGGGTTTCAAAAAGTCCATGTGAGAGTGAACTCAAAAGATAATGGAAGTTTTTAAAGACCTTTTTGCAACCCCTTCAGACTAATTTGTCCTGGCCACCTGCCTCACTGTTTGCAGGCCCATCGAAGCCCTTGGTAGGATATTTCGTGGGGAACCTGATTCCCTCTCTCCAGGAGAGAGCCATCTAAATAAAGACACATACCTGTGGTTCCAACGGCCCTCTTAGAGCAGGAGCAAGAATGAACTTGGAATTCTGCCTATTCGCTGCTGGTGGCCATCAGGCTCGTTTGGCAAACCCACTGGTGTCAGAATAGAACTGGGCTCCCCAGGGCTTTCATAGGCTGCTGTTTTGGAAGAGGAGCACCAGAACTTTCTTTGGAGGCATATCTGGGTGTACTCAAACTTCCAACCTTGCAATCCATTAGCCATCGCCATCAACCAGGGACGTTTGTGATTTCTTACCAAACCAAACCCAGTGCCATCTCGTCAGCTCTGACTCATCTTGTTGTGAGGTGCCATCAAATCCATTCTGACCCTCGTGACCCTGTGCACAGCAGAGTGAAACACTGCCCAGTCCTCCTTCATCCTCACGGTTGTTCCTGTATCTGAGCCTGTGGTTGCAGTCGCTGTGCAGACCCATCTCATCCGGGCCTTCCTCGTTTTCATAATGTCCTTCTTTCAACATGCCCAAAGTATGTGAGATGAAGTCTTCCAATCCTTGCTTCGAAGGAGCGTTCTGACTGTACTTCTTCCAAAACAGATTTATTTGTTCATTTCCCTGACGGTGTCAGCAGAGATCTTTGTGATTTCTTAAAAACCAAAACTGACTGTCGATGCTGACTCATCATAACACCATAGGACAGAGTAGAGCAGCCCCTTTGGGTTTCTGAGGCTTTAAATCTATAGCAGTAGACAGCCTCATCTTTCTCCTGAGAAGTAACTGGTAGGTTTGAACCATTCATTGATCTTGAAGTTACCAGTAGCCTAGGGTCCCCTTAAACAAAGGTGATTAATAATATAATTTAAAGAATTTAAGTTTGGGACTTACTTTTCAAGTTTCATTTTGTTTTTAATTCTTGGAGAACATATAAATTTTGGCTAAAGAAATTCTTTAGACTATGCTAAAAAATTAAAAGTGTCTTGTGAAAAGTAATTCTTGAAACCTTGAATGACCTTTACAGGTCAATGTTAATATTAATAGGCTGGTGGGTTAATTTTTTCAGTTACCATGTGGACAAGAGAATTTAAAAAATAACAATCCCTTGAGACAGTTGGCAATTTTCCCCCCAAGTTTTATTGGCATATAATTCACACATCATACCATTCCATAGTTCAATCACATGAAGAAGACTTGTACAGCCACCATCGCAATCAGTTTTAGGACATTTTCTTTATCCTTCTACACATGATTATTAGCTCCCCAATTCCCTGCCACCTTCCCTTGCCATACATACCCTCAAGGAACCATTCATCTAGTTTTGTCTAAGGCTACCCCTGATTTGAGCGGCTGGGGTTCTTTTTGTTGTTCAAATATGATGTCAAGAATCAAATGGAGGTCTAATTTTCTACGTTTTCAAAACAAATTCTGGAAAATACATTGTGTCAGAGGTTTCCTAAGCCCTATGAAGCGGCTGCTGTGTAAACCCAGCAGAAGTCACTGAAGAGTCGGAGAGAAGAGGGTTGTGCGGAGGGCTGGCCCAGCCCTTTCTGGGCACGCCCCAGAGTTGCTACGGAATTTGAGTGAGGCACCTTCTCAATAAAAGGAGCTGCCTAAAATGGAAGGCATCATTACCTTCTACTTCTCTCCCCTCTGTCCTGAGGCTCTTGGGGGGAAATAAGAAGCCTTGTGATTCCCTACCAGAAAATGTTCATTTTCAATGTTGTTCATCTTCAACATAGAGCTTCGGCATAAATAGAACTTGGTGGAAATACAGAAGGCAGAGCATAAACATACAGTTACAATGTGCCCCCTGACATGAGGCAATGTGCATGGCAACCCTATGGAAAGTGGTTCTTTCTGTGAGCTTCACCCTCCACCGGCAGCTGCTTGTGATTCCGAACACAGAGGTTTCTCACCTGAGGCTGCCTGCGTTAATCACCTCTCGGCTAAATGTTCGCGTCGGGCTGCTGTGCGGTGGATGGCTGTGTCATAACTGATTATAGCTGTCAACCAGGAGTTCAGCTTTGCCTGCTACCTGGTCACTAACTGCTGATGAGATGGCACTGAACAAGAACAATTTGGGGGCGGGGGCTGTGCCCCATCCAGACACTCCTCCATCCTAGCATCCATCTATGAAATATCATTCTGAAAAGTGAGGTGAGTGTTTGGTAAAGGCTGTAACTTAAGTGGAGCTCGCCCCTGCCATTGGCTGGATAAGCCTTTAACGCCTCTTCTGGGCTACGCGAGGGCAGCCCTCCCGGCTAGTACTAAGCCTGGACAAGTGCTCTTGGGGTACAGACTGCTGTGCTTCTCTTACATTGTGCCTCCGAGTCTTCTAAACCACTGACCCTTGAATTCTGCAGATTTCGAGATTTGTTCAAGCTCCAGGACAAAGCCCAGGGAAGGCGAGTTAAATCGGAAATGCAAGGGTCTCTGGGCAGTATGGGAGCGCGCCCTACAGAATAAATGACAGAACTTTGACACAGCTGCAAGTAGAGGCTTGCTTGGAATCACAGGGCTCTGGCTGAACTCGGTCGCCTGGTGTCAGCCGATCAAGTGGTTCTGTGGCTTCTAGGAGGCCCAGGGGGATGCAAAGGACAGCAATTTGTACTCTTGGGTATGAGGAGTTTTACAGGCAAGAAGGTGAAGCAAGTGGACCATTTGTGGGTCTCAAGCAGGACTTGGCGCTAGTTCATTGTGCTTTAACCCCCTGGCTGAAAATTCACTTCTTCCACCAGAGATATACTACATCAGAAGCTTCCTTTTAATAAGCATTCCCCAGGTGCTGGTTTTATATGATTCCATATCAAATTACATATGCATCAGCCATTGGCACCACCCAGGGACTCCCGTGAGTTCTTCGGGTCTCCTATGGACATAAAAGAACCATCTAAGCTATAGATTCTGATTCCATCTATCTGGGAGGGAGCAGTGATGGGAGGGTGCACGTCTTCAGCAGGGGGCTGAACTGAAATGAACTGGTCAAAAGCCCTGGGCTCAGGGTATCCCAGACACCTCAGATTTCCCCACTGGCACAAGCAGATGAGTCAATAGGGTTGTGCACCGCCTTCCTGGGCCATGTTGTAATACTGTCCTTCTATTCTGGCAGCCATCTCCCCCAGTGATAGCTTCCTGCCAGCCTGCTGCCCTCAATGTGGAGGACAGAGGGGGAGGGTGTCAGACTCTCTGGGGCAGGGATAGTTGGGAAAACTAGTTGGACCCGCTTGTCCTCGAGTCACCTTCTCCTTGGATGGCCTCCTATGTGTCAGCGTATCCCTGTGCTTCACAGGGTTCTGTTGTGTTGTGTTGTGTTTCGTTTCCTATGGCAAAAGTTTCAGACGTCGATAAGCAGGTCTTTCTTCCAAGGGACTTTTGGGTGGCCTTGAACTGCAGCCTTTCTATTCCTAGCCGAGCACCTTAATCGTTGGAATGAGGAGCAGCCATGTTACCTTCCACTTTGGGATCTCTGCAGAAGATCCTGGCTGAAGGCACAGACCCAGCATGCTTCCTCGTTATCTAGACCTGGGGCTTTGGCAGGATCTCCCTGGATTATTTCTTGGGTGGCACCCTTCCCTATGAATAGGATCCTACAAAAAGTAGGGAGGAATGCAAATCCCTGCATTTCCCATCAAATAAAAAAAGGGAGTTGACCTCTCTTTTGCACCTGTCCGGACCAAACTAAAGAATAATCAAGTTAATCTTGTTTGGGAGAAGTGCACGGGGTTTTGGGATGAAGCTTTCAGCCTAATTCCCTGTTCTAGCCAAGTAATAAGAAAAGCGCCTTCATAAACCAGGTAGAAACAACATCCTTCGAAATTCACCGCCCCTAGTTCACAAGCACACCACCACAAAGCAGCAAACTTCTATTTATTTCAACCTATCATACTGGTGACCTCATTAAAAGGTAAACTCCAGGTCATGTTTTTGTTGGAGAGTTAGCAAGACTGCCTGCAGTGGTGCTCCGAACCATAAAGTCACCCGGGCCAGAGGGTTCGGTCCAGGTCCACGGGGTAGACGACAGGGGCTCCTTCAAGGGGGCAGTGCATGCCCGTGCTGTTTTAAACCCTTTTCTCGTTGTCTCTCTACCAGGTTTGGATGTCAGGCAAGCTCAGGTCATCGCTCTGTCGTCAGGCACCAAGTGCATCAGTGGAGAGTACATCAATGACCAGGGACTGGTTGTCAATGACTGCCATGCAGAGATCGTGGCAAGGAGAGCATTTGTTTACTTCCTCTATGCACAGCTGGAGCTGCACCTAAGGTAAACGAACACTGTTTGTGATGGGTTCGCTTGGGCTCCCCCTCCCAAAATCCATATTGAAATCCTGGCTCCTATTTGTGTGGATATGATCCTAGTTGGAAATCTAGTTTCTTTTGTCATGTAAATGAGATCATACTCATGAAGGGTGGCTTCTAAACCTAATCGCCCCTGGGTTATTAAAAAGCGGATTAGGTTAGATACAGACACAGACACACTGGAGAGACAGGAAGATAGATGACAGGATGGCTGTCCAGCTAATAGGTGCTAAATAGACAAGAGAGGCCCTCTCCCTAGAACCACTAGCTATATTTAGACTTCGAGCTTCAAAAACTATGAAAAATAGAAAATTCTGCTTTGAAACGCCACCCACTTGTGGCATCTACATTACAGCAGCAGTGGACAACTGAAACACAGCCGGTAGCTTAGATGGACTTTATGGTATTCCATGGGGAGAAACATCAACCTGTCTGCTAGACCTGCAAGCCCATGGCTCTTGTAGAGTTGTGTTTATGCATCTTAGCCATTCCGAGGGGGAAGAAGAGTTACCCCAGAATCCACTCGGAATGTATTTCCCCCTCTTCCTGGCAGTTTCCCGACTCAAGATGAATAGCTATGAGCCATAAAGTTCTTATTCAGACGATTGACAATCCCTTAAGCACTGACAGTGTTGCCATGCAAACTAGTAAAATATTGCAATACCAGACATCGTCCTCATTATTGTCATTTCTCTCTCCAGTAAACACACTGACTGCTTGCCTCTGAATTATTCCACAGACAGTTTTCAAGGCATCTGTACACACACGCCCCTCCACACACAGACATGCATCCTGTCACATACTCATTCCATTAAATAACATGTCCTATTATTTTCTATTAAAACACTCAGGGGATCTCTAACGGGTGAAATTTTACCATGACGCCACCATATCGCCCATGAAAGCTTACGAGGTAGCCAACGTTCTTTCTTCGTGAGGCTGAGGGTGCCTTCTAGAGAATAAAGGAAATTATTGAGAAAGAGGATTGACAACCTATTTTACACATTGTCAACTTTTAGCCCCAGTATTTCTCCAGCTAATTGCTCATAGTCTCAATGCAAATGAGCCCAGGGAGAAAACTGGAGAGTTATGGCGAAAGGAATACAAAGATGTTCCCCAAAGGGAGCAGCTCACCCATGTCTGATTCAAACTCTGCTTTCCTTGACTGTGGGTTTTAAGGAAGACAATATTCTACCCATCCCCAGCCCTCCAAACGTTAATCCCAGAGATAGCCTGGTACTGTACAAAGAAAAAGGAAAAGAAGATGGAGAAGGAAGAAAAGAATTGGGGGAAAGAAGAACCAATAGGGACTGGGGGTGGAGCACAAACACTGTTTCACGGGAGCTAAGAGCTCTTGGTCTCTCCCTGAGATCCATAATGACATTGATCGAGCTGGAGAGCGTGTTCAGTGGGAGTATTATGCTATTTGGATCAATGTTACCTGCTCTCTGGTCAACTTTCATTTCAGCCGTGGAAAGGTGCCAAGTTGACATTGATAGCTATGTTCGATTTTGATGAAATTGTGGCCACTTCAAGAGGGACCCACAAGTCCATATATCCACCCAGCCCTCTCCCTTCTGACCAGAGGAACAGCAAGCTCATGGGAGGCTGAAATTAGGCTTTGTACCTTGATCCTTTCCCCTTTGAGCTTCTTGTCGGAAGAATTTCTCAGCAAAGCAAATTTCTTACTGGGTGTATGTCTGCAGGACCCACCAGGCTGCCTCTCACAATGCCAGGCTGCAAAACATGCTACCACTTTGTTTCTTTCCTCCAGGGCTTTAGGGCTCAGACCACCTATCCTAGGGAACTCGTAAGGCCCCCCTCTTCATAGGTCCCTTGGCACCAAGTTCTAAGGATTTTTATCAAGTTTGGTTTCAGCAATCTATTTTCTTCCATCTCTTTTTCTTCCTGGGTCAGGGATCATATTTGTATCAGCTCACTTCTCCCTTCACCACATGTTCCCCAATGTGTCCCATTTTCTCAGACCTTGTCCTCAGTTAAGATGACCAAAATGGCTAATGCTGGATTTTAAAATGCCATTTTAATCAAGGTGATTTCAGATGAAGGGGCCCTGGGCCCCTAAGAAGTGGTCTCTAACCCTGAAATGTTCGTGGTTCTGGTGGTATTGCTCTCTCACCTGGGCCAGCATCTCTCTCTCAAACCTATTAAACGGGTACAGAAAAGCAGGTGCAGTTGAACCGATGATGCATTCCTGTGAAGGTATCATGATGGGGTTGCTGTCGGTCTCTTTGACAGGACCTTTCCTTCATTGCGTCTTCCTAGCCCGTCTCTCATATCTCATATCCGTTAAAGCAATGTTGCTCAAATCCACAGAGTGGAGTCTGGGTGAGGATTTAGTGAGTTCTCCGTCAGGCCCAATAGCATGTGCAGAGGCCACACAAAGGGAAGAAACACCAATAGATGCCCAACCGACTCAAATAAAAGCAAAACCATAATACACTCTATTAATTTTTATCTGAGCCTCTAAGCAGTGAGCAGTAGCCAAATCGATGGCCCCCATTCATTCCAGGAGACCAGCCAAAGGTGTGGCCAGATTGGATGTAAGGAAGCGGAGTTGGACATTATTCAAAATGGAGGGAAAGATTTCTCTTAAATATCCAGCTGCTCGATTGGAAACATTTCAAAACTCCCCTTCGCTTTTGTCTGTGTCATGGGCCGTGATGCAGCCAGCACTTACACTGAACTCTCTGTGTGGGAGGCTCCATGGCACATGTTATACAGAATTCAAAGGCAAATGAATCCCAGTCCCTGCCCAGCACTACACTCATGGCCATCGAGTTGCGTCGGACTCATGCCCACCCTTTCAGAGAGGGGAGAGCCGCCCCTCTGTTTCTGAGACTGCCATTCTTTATGGGAGTAAACGCCACATCCAACATTCTCCCTTGAGGTCGGCAGCTCACTGCATAAACCACTTAACCACCAGGGCTCTGTGGGGACACCAAGTTGCTGTGGGGGCAGACGGGAGGGGGCGGGGTAGGGGAGCAGGAAGGGGGTGTGGCTGTGACCAGCAGAGATCTAGGAGCCAGCTAAAAGGGAACCCAGGACCCAAGTCTTTGAAGATAGCCTCAAACCATCACTTCGCTGTGGGCAGGCTGGGAGCTGGGAAACTAGGAGCCAGAACACTAGCTTGGTGAGTTCTTGGTGAGGTTGGGAGAGAAGCCTTTCCCGAAGGTGTTTGCAGGAGACAGAGTTCTGAGAGGCAGCATGTGCCCCCCC